TATATATATATATATATATATATATATATTTTGAAGTATAACAAATGAGCATGTTTGTAAACATTAAACAAGCGAGTTAAGCTATATCTAAATTTAATACATCTAAGTTCCAAATTAAAAAAAAAAAAAAGTTCTGATATATTTATTTATTAATTTGAACAAAACAAGATTGAGTATTAAGTGAACCAAATTTGAGTTATCATATTCATTTACAACTCTAATTGTGTTGATAGAATGTAGAAATTTTTATCGTTTGTGTAATAATAAATAATGAGATTTTTTTTTTAAATATGCTCGTTCCATATAAGAAAATATTTTTTTTTTAATTCCTTACTGATTGAAAATAATTTAAAAGAGCTTGCATTAAAAACAGGTAATATCCAAGGTTATAACTATTTTTAAAAAATAGCTTGCATTAATATCTATCTACCTAGTTATAACTATTTTTAAAAAATAGCAATGACAATAAATAATTTTACCATGCTTTTATGAAATTTCTAAGGTTAGAACTTCAAGAAAATATTGCATCAAAACTCCGAACATAGAATTACATGCAAAGTCCAATAAAATCATACCACGTGACAGCGACAAAAATAAATAAATAAAATGTCCAGTAACACAAAAATATTCTTCCCGTATTACTCAAGTGTTATTGTGTGTTATTCAAGTGTTATTGTTATGTTATTGTATTATTATAACACCGAGAATATTCTCATAATACACTTGAATAACATACAATAACACCTAAATAACACGAGTAAAATATTCTCGTGTTACCAGACCAATTTTTTTTTCTGTCACCTCTAAGTGGCGTTATTTCATTGGACTCCGCACGTAACTCTACGTGGAGAGTCCTGATGCAATATTTTTTCTAGAACTTCACCTTAGACTCAATTGTAATCCAAATTTAATAAATCCAACAAATGAATACGATTTATTAAATCCTACTAGATTTTGCAATAACTTTTTCCCATTAAATTTACACAAATATCATTAAAATTAGCAAATAAATATTTAAAATTTTATGCAGAGAGACCTGATCTACCATTTCATAACACTTGTGAATAATTAATGGAACAGTTGTAAATCCATCTCAGTAAAATACAGACCGACCACCTTAACATATCAATTGAAATCCGAAGTTCAAACATAGCACAAAAAGACTCAGACTTTACGTAGAATCGCGAATGCCAATAGCATTTTGTCCAAAATCCCTAATGGCTTCTTATTTAACGCAGTACAAATTTACCAGAAACTGAAAGAGAACGCAGCAGAGGCACCGACGATATCAAGCCTGCAGCCCAATTACGCCTGAGGGAACAAAAAAAAAAATATCAAATAAATTTTATAATGGGAGCATTTTACATACATACCACCACACAATTCCTTTGTATTTAGCATGTCTAAACACCTAAAGTTTTAACTTTCTACATTTATACCACCCAAATCTTTTATACACATAAAAAAATGCCACTAGCTAAGTTTAATTTAAGTATAAATAAATCTTTGGGGAAATTATGTACAGCACGCCTGAAACATTGCTATTTACAAATCAAGCAAGCAACCCTCATTCATCCATTTTTCAAATTGTCACACCAAATACTCAAAATTCATGATAATACCCAACCCATATTTTCTATTTTTATCATGGCATGCATATATGCATCAGTTCTGTAGTTCAAAAAATAAGTGGTGCTTCATTTGGAAATAACAATGTTTCAGGTTATATAGGTGGCAGAGACATACAACAGAGGTGAAGAAAAGAAATGGAGAGCAGAATGAGGATCAAATGAAGAATTTAAAGGAGGCTTAGGGGGTGGGGGGGGGTGGAAGAGCATACCACATGCGAGTCTTCCGCCTGCATTTCCAGTGGACTTGCTAAGCTCGTGACCACCTGAGAATAAATTTAATTTATCAATTTCAAGTTACATATATTGTATCAAATTTTAAGTAATCCATCCTCTTATTATAATGTATTAGAATTGAAGTAATCCACGGTTTTGATAAAAAAAAATAATGTATTATATTAGTATTTACTTATTGTACATCCTCAAACATACATTGAATATGTCAATCACCAAAATTTATTTTCTACTGTATTTCTATAACAGATATGACAATATAAAAATTGATGCCTATTTGATGTTAAATATGCGAAGAAATCCATTAAAGACCAAATGCATTTTTGTGTGGGAAAATATTGTTTCATGAAGAATTTATCATTACAAATTTGATACAATATTAGATAAGTGTAAGGATTAGTTAGGCCTAAAATAAGTATTAGCTTTATAAAGAATGAGAATACAACCAGATCTAGCACTGAATTTGAATACAAAGCTATGATACATTCTTTATATGAAACAGCACAACTACAAGCCCTCATCCCACTAAGTGGGTCGGGTACATGACTCCTTTTTCTCCATAGTGTCCTATTGAGTGTTATATTTTCATTTAATTCTAATAAATTAAGATCTTTTTTTATAAAACATGTCCAAGTCTTTTTAGGTCTACCTCTACCCTTCTTAACATAAGTCGAATATAAAACATCTACACTCTCTAGCAAGGTCATCATGGTCGACGTTTCATGTAACCAAACCATCTAATACGATTGTCCCTAATTTGGTTCGCCACTGGAGCTACACCACCCTTTTCACATATATATTCATTTTTTATCTCTAAGTGTAAATCCACTCACAACAACACTTAATTTGATTTTATGCTTCTTTTTATAGGCCAACATTCTACACCATAAAACATTGAAATTCTAAGCTGTACTTTTTCTATCACACAGTAGGTCGGATGCATTCCTCGACTTCAACAATCCAACTCCAATTCTACTAATAACCATCACTTTGAACAATAAAGCAGAGATATCACCATCACTTTGAACAATAGGGCAGAGATATCCAAATCGTTCACTCATTCTAATGATTTGATCACCCATTATTACAACACTGCCAATAGATCTACTACTACTACTAAAATTATATACCATGTATTCAATTTTAGATCTACTCAAACAAAAACCTTTGGACTTTTTGACCTCCATAATTCAAAATTTTCTGAAACTCTTTTCCTATTATTATCCACAAGAAGGATATCATAAAAAGCATACACAAAGATACATCCTCCTATAAATGCCCAATAAGAACATCCATAAATGAAGCAAAAATATAGTCTTAAAGTTGATCCTTGATGTAACCCAACTGAAAAAAGAGTATACTAGGTCAATCCTCCTATTGAAATACAATTAACAGTTCTAATATACATACCTTTAATGAATTGAATATAAATAATATGAACACCTATCTTTTTAAAAACTCACCAAAGTACTTCTCTCAAAATCTTATCATAAACTCTTTCTAAATTAAAAAAAAAAAAAATCAAATGCAGATTCTCCTTATTTTTTTGTACTCCTCCAACAAACCTTTCAATAAATTTATAGCTTCCATAGCAGATATGCCCGACAAATCCAAACTGTTTGTGAGAAATATTTGTATCACGTCTTAACCTATATTTAATTACTCTCTCACATTAATTTAATGCATGACACTTTAACTTAATTCTTCTATAATTTGTATACTCTTGTGCATCCCCTTATTCTTAAAACGTAACAATATAAATAGCAAAATGCAATAGAAGAGTTTCATTTTTTGTAATAATTCATCATATGATTTTTAGTTCTGATATGATAACCAAGCAACAATTAACAATGACAACAAAATTTTTCTTGAAAGAACAAATCACTAATAGCATGTGCCAATACATCAAATATCACCGGTGCTTTTCTCCAATGAATTATATTGGGCAAATATTTTTATTAAGGCTTTAGGATTTCAATATATCCAATATTTACAAGTAGATTAAGAATAAAGTGTCACAATGGTCTCCTGAATGTTTACATGAGGTCATTTTAGTCCCAAAGTCTATAAAACAAATGCCAATTAATCCCCTACTATTTTATTAAGGGCTGGAATAATCCCTATGGATGATTATTTCAATCCGAATTTTAAAAATATGAGGACTAATTTGCAACTTTTATAAAATTTGGGAATACAATAACCGTCATATAAACATCGAGGGGACAAGTAGACACTTTACAAAACATTTTATCATTACTATAATGTTAAATCATAACGATAGTTCTCTGTCTTCATTATATGCATCTTGTTTCTCTTGTATCTTTCTTAAGGGTGTCTGGTAGCATATCATTAAAAAGATTTAGGCATGGATTTAAGTTAAATCCAACCAAACACCAAAAAAAATAAAAACTCAAGTCCGAAGCTCCGTTAAATCTAATTTTTTCAAATATCATTGCTATCTCCCCGTGTTTCATCTCTATTATAGCATAAATCCGGATTTAATAAATCTAAATACAAGTCAGATTTAAAGAATTTGTTTCGTCGTTAACAAGCTTCATCTTTGTGGAATCTCCGCGGAAGAATTTATCGGATTTGATAAATACTATTGAACGTTAATCGCATTTGCGGCCAAACTCCGCCTAATTACAGACATGTGCATTATAAATAAAACAAATTAAGAGGTTTGACATGTCTCAACAATAAATTTAATTAATTTTCTAAATAAAAAATAACATTCATAATGCATCATTAGCAAACTTAATCAAATATCTGCCTTTTATATAACTTTAGTCATGAAGACTAAATTTTTCATAATCATCACTATCACTAGTCTAGTCCTGTCTATTTGTGGTCAACTTTATAAATTCTTTTTCTTAGTGATTCTTATGGAATGTTTCATGAGATTTTAAACCTCATAAATACTTTAGAACTCCTATATATGTTTCCTTGCGAATACTTTTTTTCCGTTATAATCTTTCAACACTAATTTTATCAGCTTACAAGCACATTTTTCCCTCTTTACCGTACATGTCAAACCCACATTAATCTATTTTCTACCATCCAAACTTTAATAATCTGCCTCCACCGACACCCGCACCCTCCCTAAAATATAATATTCCACCAATTTATATATTGTAGTGTTGACATGCGTCCATATTAGCATGCTAAACTGGCCTATGAACAACTTTAAAGCGCAGCACTAAAATCCATTCAAGATACAAAAAAATTTATTTCTAGTTATATAAGCATTTATCAATAGGGAATTTTACATACATACCACACAATTTTTATGTATTTATTTATCTAACACCTAAAGTTTGATATTTACATTTTTAGCACTTTGGGATAATAAACCCATGCAAGAAAATCTGTATTTCACTTTTAAAAAGTTAGTAATAGTGATATTTTTCACATGATATTAAAAATTTGTGTAGTATGCTTGTAAATATGAAAGTTTAGGAGTTAGATGTGTAAATATATAATAATTTTGTTAATTTTGTGGTATGTATGTAAATGCCCCTTATCTAAATTAGCCACCCAACCTTAATTTTAAAAATTTAAAACTTATTTATGACTTCAGGTTTCATTATATATATTCAACATAATAAAACATAGCCCGAATCAAAAAGAATGAAGGTGGATTTTAGACCGTCAATACTAGAATTTAAGTTAATGAAACAAATCCACACTTGAATTCTGCTATTGCCAGGATATTCGAAAACAGGGCAAGTCACTGCCTAGTCAGATTGTAGAGCCAAGAATCAAGAATTTAATAAGATGTCAAATGAAGCATCACAACTAAACCTGATTGTGGTAAAAATACAAAAAGATTGGATATAAGATTACCTTACACAGCATAAATGAGCTTGATAATGGTAAAAAAAAAATAAGGATTGGTTAGGCTTAAAAGAAACATTAGATTTATAGTATTAAATATGAAGAAATGGGATGACAAGATAACTGGTTGAAACCGAATAATAGAAGAATAAATAATACTTATTCAGAAAAAAAAATAAAAATGTGAAAATCTAAGAACATTTGTGAATTTATAAATTGTTGAAAAGATTACCAATAATAATATAGTTGAAATAATAATGAACAGAGAGTTGATGAAGAAAAATATTGAGGTGAATAGGAGAAACGATAGAATAGTTTATAATAAAAAAACATAATAATAAAGATATTAAACATGTGATCAGGCTTGAGCTCCTAAAATTGGATAGGAAATAGCTTTAAATTTTATTTTTAGAAAGATATGGATGAACTAATACAATATATATTCGGAGAAAGAAATACAATTAATTATAAGTGACTTAAATGGATATATATATATATATATACATACACACGAAGCTAAAATGTAATGGAAATACTAATATGATTTTCATTAGCCTATGATATTGTAAAACTTTAAGAACAAGAACATTTAATTACTTGCCAAAAAAGGATCTACTAAATTACAAATGGACTTCTTTTATTCTTAAAATAGAATGAAAAGATATTTTTGCAAAGATTATAAGGTGATTTCAAAATAAAGTAGAACAACGCATCATAAAATATCAGTTATGAATGCATATTTTAAGGAAATAATTGCCTTAAGGAGATGGAATTGAGAATTAATTAATCCTATAAGAAAAATAGCTAATAGATAGAAATTGTAATTGCTTTGTTGAGGTAAACTTGATATGATATAAGATAGCTACTTCCATAACGAAGATTATCTTAGAAATTTTAAGATAGCTAAAAAATATACTGCACATTGATAAGCAAATTGGTAGTGTAGTGAAGGAGGTACAAAAGTTTTAAATAAAAAGTATACCTAAATTAATAAAATTAAACATCATTATGATGATATAACAACAAACATAACAATGCTGGAAGTTTTGCAAAGAGTGTTATGACCAAAACAGCAGCTATAACCTTCGATGGTTTGATTAACATACTTGACACATAGGGGTAGAGGATCAAAATGTATGAATAACTAAGACGATAAGAATTCTTGAAACTTGTATTAGGTTAGATATATTGAACACAGATATTTAAATTGGAAGTAAAAAATAGAATAACAACAAAATATGAAATTATGAAGATGCATAAAGGTTATTTTTTTATGCAAATTAAACAAATACCGAGATTTACAAAGATAAAAGTTATGGTATAGTCGTTTGCTTAGCAAATATCTTGAATAAAAATTTGAAAACCAAAAAAAAAAATGATTGATTATTTTAATACCAGTATATAAGAGTGAAAAAAAATGCAAAATTATGCTAACAATAAAGAAATATCAACTACAGAAAAGAAAACATTCAGAGATTCTGCAATGCAAGAAAATTAATATTGCAGTGATTTTATTTACACCAATGCTGGCATCAAATTTCTTCTTTTGTTATAGGGGTGGCTCTTCATTTAGATGCTTTTATCTCCACTCCCACCTTGTTTGAAATACTTTAGCATGTAAATCTTCATGATTTAAATTTATAGCTATATTGGTATTATTTTCAACTACTGTGTATTTCATTCGAGTATGACAAATTCAAGGAATCAGAACATCAACTCATGAAAATGAAACGTTTACAGATATGCATCAATGCAAGTAAATTAAATTGGCAGGAAAGCCAAGCCTCAAGTTAGAGATAGAAACCAACGACCCGATGCAACTGAAATGACATTAGCAAACTATAATGTTGCACTGTTAGTTGTTTCAAAATAACTCAATAGATTAGCTAAAAAGGACATCTAGCCAGAAATCAAACAATAATTGAACCACCAATTCGAGATTCATTTGGGCCAAACACAGCAAGTTAAGATCCTAATGAAAAGATGTTATATATCATCCTAAAGGGAAAAAAAAAAAGTAACAATCCTCACCAAAAGAAGCAACCACCGTCTTATCCAAAGGCACTAAGAACAGCTTCCTTTATTTACCTTAGTTGGATTCAATTGGATTAGAGCTACATTTTACTGATTCATCCCATACACCCCATTCACTTCTACGTGTTTCAATGTTTTCAGAAAAAAACAAAAATCACCATACTGTTCATCCAAATATATGCTGCTTAAACCAGAATGTCCTTCATACTGAAAAATACATATCAGCATGGTAAATGAAAAATATATTTTAATAAATTCAAATATAAATCTTCATGCTTTAGTCACTGCACCTGCTTTCTTTCTTTGTGTCATCATAATTAAAAGCAACAGCAATCAATACATCAAAAGAAAAAACTGTACCTTTTCCAAGGTCATCCGGATCAGCGTGGACTACAACAGCCCTTCCAATGACAGAATTTGGGCCACTGAGAGGAATCTGTCACATAAAAAACATAACACTTTAAAGAGCAGAAAATAGAGTTGAGGGTTGTGAAAGGTCAAAAATCTTTCAAAACAAAAATACACACACAAGAATTTACCTGTATGTCAGAAACTTCAACTTTAGCAGTCCCTGAACCAGAAAAGAAACTCAGCCTTGTATGAAGGATTGTATGCATGATAATTTAAGTTATGAAAAAAACACACCCCAAACATAAAGCCTGACAGTTATATACAATCTAAACACCAAAAAACTGCTTAAATTGCATGGAAGATAATAACAACCCGAAACTGTAAGGACTGAATCAAAATCAGACCAATCTAACTAGCTTTTGCTTTTGAATTAGGAAAAAAGAAAAGCTCATATCATGTTAACTCAAAAAACAAATTGAATGAAAAGGAAAATCCAGGATAGAAAAAATACCATCTTCTCCAGCTTTCACATTTCCAAGATCACCAGCATGGCGGTTCTCATCTTCAGGAGCCCCGTGTTCGTTTCCAGCAGGATTAAAATGAGCACCTGCATTACCACAGAAAATAAAATGAACAATCATCAAATACAATTTAATTAATTTCTTTGGTAAGATAAATCATGATTGAAACATTATAAACCCAGCTATCAAAAACACAGCACCAGTTGACAAGCAGCCGTTCGTAGTGTCCCCAAATGCATGAACATGGAAGCCATGAAGCCCAGGCTTAAGACCAGAGATGACTCCTGTAACTTTAGTTGGACCTGAAGAAGAAGATAAAAGTTCAAAATATCATTAAATTTACAAAAGAAATCAGCTACATCTGCAAATAAAATATAAACTTCACTAGATGAACTTTTGGTGGCTTCTGACTTTACCATCTCCTTCCTGTTCAAAGAAGATTGTTCCCTTCACTTCTTCCGAACCACTGAGAACAGCTAGAGCCTTCACCATCGTTTTCTGTGATCTATTTACCCAAAGCCAAGGATAAGAGGAAGTTCTACAACAAATGACTATAAAAAACTAAATAAAACAAATTAAAATCCAACATCTGAAACCATACAAATTATCAAATCAGAACCAATAAAATGAACTTGCACCGTGTTCATAAATAGCTGGAATTAAAACATAATAATGAATACGAGAATGCCAACATAGACTAATGGCAAACTTACAAAGGATCAACTGAAAAAAATTACACTATAAAGGTAGCGATCGAAACATCTATCACAGATAAGATCGAAAAAATGAAATCATAAAACCGATATAAGAACCCAGTGCCTAGAAATCATTCCGAAATCCCTGCAAAATAATTTTGACACAAAAAAATATAACAAGATAATTCAGCAAGCCGATTAGATAAGCTGATAACAATGACGATTGTCATAAAATAGCTTCACATGTCATCACGTCCTTGGAACCATGCGCATGCAGAATCAATAATAATTTTTCATCAAACAGAACACGTTCACCCCATAAATAACTAAACTCAGTTCATAACGACAACTTCATCGATTTTTTTCATTAAGAACCAAAAACCATCAGAAAGCGACGACCAAATTACTATCGACCTCCCGCAAGAACATTGAACAGGTGTGAAAGAGTGAAACAACAAAGTAATCTATGACAGGTAAAAGAAGAACCAGCTCTCAATCGAAAGATGAAAGAATTGAAGATCTAGGGTTTACCTCAGGCGACCCCTAAGCGATCTAACAGTGAGCAAGCACAGAGCGACCGACGAATCACCTCTCTCCCCTGTGAAATGGGCGCGAGGCTGGCAAGTAGTGTCTAGGTGAATGGATTCAGTCACCGTTGGTAAGAATTGGTGACTTTTGACCCTTCAAATGGTCAAGGTTCTCTAGAGTGTTCGATGGTCCGGTTGGACGCCGCCGTTTGTCCTATCCGGCGAACTTTTGGGAGGATTGATTAAAAAAGATTTTCTTTTACTCCCGAGAGTCCTTAAAAAAATTAGGAAAGTAAATGTGGATATTATTTCTAAATGAAAGGGACAATTACATATAGAACATGAAAAATATTACTAATTACAAAACGAACATTCAATGAATTTTTAAATTATAAAATCGATATATTTATGTGTGCTACGATCAGATCATTTTGAATTGATAAGATCTTTGATATTTGAGTGAGAATTTGATGAATGAAAGAGTAGATAGTAATGTTTTAGATGCCTTGTAAGTAATCCAAATTAAAGACATTTCTAAATATATAAATATTAAAATTTGGGTGTGATTTATAAATAAAATTTGGGTTTTGAGAGTTGTGTGAATAAAATGTGTTTTTCACTTCTAAAACATTAGTAAAAGGAGTTAGTGAAGTTGAAATTTTGAGCATTTAAATGTACAATGTTGGGGTGGTGTTTGATTGCTTAGTGTTAATAAATATTTTGTATTAATTTAAGGTAAATCAAGTCAAAAATCAAAGAAATAAAAATTAAATCTGACTCTTTGTTCAATTAAAATTTCTCACGTTCTGTCTCAGTTTCTAGCATTTCGTTTTTTGAAGATGTAAATTAGTGTTGATGAAATCAGATGGTGGAGTGGATCTAAGGGATTTACTCCATTGTTGTTGCTTGTGAGTTTCGTCTCAGTCACACAGGAATTGATAAATTCAATTTTTTTGGAGAAGATATATCCTATTTAATGTAAAATCATATTGCAATCAAACACCACCTTAGGTGTTAAAGAAGAGTTATGTTATATTTTTGTAAATGTCATGTATATATGTATATATATATATATATATTACGTACATCTAAATGTCCTATAGATACTTATGTAAATGCTCAAGATGAAAAGAGTGGGAGAGAGGGGTCTTCTTATTTTATCCCTCTGCCTAATTTGAAATGTCCATGTTGTTCACCATTAAATTAATGTCTAAGAATATATGCAATAAACTACAAAATTCATCTTTGAAACCTTTAGCTTTAATAGTAGTAAGAATAAAGTTCCAATTAATAGAATCATAAGTCTTTTGTGTGAGTCAGGCTTAAGGGTACCATTAGTGCATCAAAGCTTGCAATCCAAGTCTTGTAATAATTTTTGGGCTATAAGGATGTTTTTAGAAATAAATCTTCCATAAATGAAAGCCACTTGTTGAGGACTAACAAAATGTTTAAGAAAGATTATAATCTGCTCACCAAAATTTGACTTATAACTTTAGAAATAATAGAGGTGAGATTGAAAGGTCGAAAAAATTTCTCATCTATGTTTAAAATTATCATTCGGAATTAAGACAATTTTAGTGCATCTGAAAAATTTTTGCAGAAATAAAGTTGCACTTGATAAAATCCCACGAATTCAAGTAGGAAAAAACCCCATAAGGACCGACAACTTTGTTGATGTTAATGGAGAATAAAGCAACCCAAATTTCATTTTTCCATATATAAAAAACAAAGGTAAAGTCCATAACCACAGCTATAGGAGCAATAAGATAAGTTTGTAATCTAGTAAGGTCCAACTCAACATAACTAAATAAGTTCGAAAAAAATTCCACACGACACTATCTTTAATGTCTTGTTCATCATAAAGCCAATTACATTCCTCGTCCTTACTTTTCAAAATAACATTAGATTGCCTCCTCTGTTTAACACAAGCATGAAAGAATTTAGTGTTTCTATCCTCTTCCACATGGCTCAGATAGTTTGTTTTTTTTTTATAAAATTCAATTTCTAGTTGAATAACATCATTTAATTGATTTTAGCATAAAACACTTCATTTTTTTCTCAACAAGATCACCCTGATACTATCTCTCAAAGGTTTTAACCATATTTTCCACATCTATAACTATAGTAAGAATATTACCAAAGCTATTACAATTTCGATCTTTTAATACAAGCATTAGTTTCATGTGTTGCCTCCACATGTTGATCCACGGGTTATCATATTCATTAGAGCACCAATTAGCATTAACCAGATGTTCGACATGAGGATGATTAGTCCAAACATTAATAAACCTAAATTATTTCATTTTAGGCCAACAAAGTAAAACCACAATAACAAGTACAAGAGAGTGATAAGAGCAAGTCCTACTTAAATAAACCATCTCTATAAAATGAAAACCTCCCTCCAATTTTGATTAACGAGCATTCTATCAATTCTCTAAAAAAGTTTACGCCTGCTCCAAGTAAACATGTTACCAGTGAAGTATGTACCTAACAAACCCGCAGTTTCAATGTTCTCCAAAAACTGATCTATCATTTTAGTAAACGAGACCTGCCACCTTTTTCTCTATACGAGAAAGGATGGCATTGAAGTCTCCACCAAATCTTATACATTTACATATCTAACACCTAATTTTTTTTATATATTTATAACACAAATTTTTCGTATCACATAAAAATATTATTATTGAACTGGAATGCACCTTTTTCACGAATTAGTACATTGATATAAATATAAATATCTATTTACATATGAAAGGAATTATGTGATATGCATGTAAATCTTCGTTTATATTTCTAGTAATCCCCAAACTTTTTAATTTGGTGCGTCAAGTTTCTCGAGTCGTCAGCTTCTCATATCGTCGGTCCGTCATTCTGTTGTGCTTGGAAGCTGCTCGGGTTTAATCGATGTGGTCGGTCAGATTTGGTTGATCGTCCGGTTAGTCTTGACTGGTTACCTGAGAGGCAACGACCGATTGTAAGATCGGGCTCCAACTAATTGGTTGAGGAGTCACGAGTCTTCACATTTGATGTCATACATGCTTGTCCGCTTTCGGTCGGCCAAGAGGATCATTGGTTAGTCGGCCTTAGGCTGCTTGGTCAGCCATGAGTTCTCCAACCGAACATTTAGTATTTGATATGGCGTCAAGCTGCTCCAAAATCCGTGCATTTCATTTTTCGTTGTACAAATAGGTAAATACATAATAATTGGGTGGTTTATGTAAACGCCCCTTCAATTTTTTATTTTTCTAGTAATTGTTGTTATTTTTCCTTAATTTTATCTTCACTAAAGTAAAATTATTTTAAGATTTATATGTAAATCTTAATTAAATTTTCAAATATTATATCAATTTTAAAATTTATTTTGGTAAAATAGGCTTAAAATATTATCACATAAACTTAGCTTTTTTAGATCCAATTTAAATACTTACAAAATAAAAATCAAAATTAAAATAATTAGAATTTTATTTCAATTTATTTTTAATATGACATCAAAATGTTTACAATCAAGTATTAACAACATTTCAAGGACAATTTTCACATTTAAATTTAAACTTAATTTTTACATATGCCTAATAAAATAATAAAATTAATTAGTATTATTATTATTCAAAATAAAATTCAAGAGATTAGAAAGCCCTTGGATGAGCTTATGCTCTTTGTTTAGGTTATGGCTATGAGAAATATCTAAAAATACACATATAAAAATATTTATTCCAATCATAAAGCACTTGCTTTTCATAAAGTGTGAGTATGGTATTTAAAATCCATAGAAAATATATATGTGTGCCGAGCATACTATTAAGGAGAAAATATTACCTATCGTGCGTAATATTTTCTCGTGGCCAAGGGCTTGTTTGTAAGGCTGTCAAAACGGCTCGTTGTTCGTGAATGACTCGTGTTTGCCTCGTTAAAAAGCTCGTGTTCGTCTCATTCGCTAAGTTAATGAGTCGAACACAAACAAATATTTGTTCATTCGTGTTCAGCTTGTTTTGACTCGAAATATGCTAATCATTTATATATATATATATATATATATTTGATGAGTAGTATTTAAAAAAAAATTAATTAACCACAAAGCTACAAAGATTTATAATTAATTAAAAGTTTTAATTAAGAAAATTGAATAAAAATTATTAAATTAGATTCAAATGATATTTTAAATCTTGACCCAATCCTTATCATATGATTAGTGTTGTCAAAACAATTTTTTGTTCGTGTTCGGCTCGCTAAACGAACGATAGCGAGCCGAACACAACCACACTTTTTGAGCTCGAAATATAGACGAGCCGAACACGAGCTAAGTCTGAGCTCGCTCGTATTCAGCTCGTTTACACCCCTACTTATTTGGAATCATTTTCATTTTAAATTTTATTTACTTTTATATCTTTCTTTTCTTTTCTAAAAAAACAATAATTTGAACAACATTGATCATTAATTCTTACAAACAGATAAAACAATTTAAAATAAAATAATTCAAAAAAAAAAAAAAAAAAAAAAACTGCGGATCATTGTTCTTCAATAATGCTTGTTTCAGCCAAACCCTTTCTCTCTGCAGGCGAACCGGGAACAAAAGGAACAAATCCCCTGCCCCCAAAAACTGGGCGCATGAAGGAATCATCAAATCTGCGCCAATGGTGATGAACCGATGCGTAGGGTTTGGTGAGGAGCATCCGAAGGTTCGGCAGGCCGATGATATTATCCCCCACAGCTTCGACCTCGGATACCTGGCCATTTTCGAGGAGGAGACGAGAAAGGAAGGATTTTGGACTCAGGGGATCTGAGGACATGCTGCTCAGATGCTTCGGAGCGTGAGGAAGAAGAAGACGGATTAGAGGCTTTGTCAGTAAGCCGAAAACCTGCGCGGGGTTGAGGAATCGTTGAGTTATGATAAGGTAATTTGTTTATGATGTTTAGTGAAATCAGTTCGAGTAAAAATTTACGGGGCATTTACAGACATACCACATAAATGCAAAAAAAAGTAAAGTTTTGGGGCTAGATATGTAAGTTTATAGGAATTGGGCGGTGTGCATGTACATGCCCCTTTTTATTTTCATTAATTTATTTTGCATTAATAGAGATAAAATAAGTTTCTATAATAAATAACTGCTAGAAGTAGATCAAGCTAGAGCTCTTACCACAGTGCTAAACAGAACAACTGTGATAGTACTGGTGATCATTATAGCATTGCTTCTCAGCTGTGTGTGCCCTGCTCTAGTGAACTGCAATATAAAGATGTTTTTATCAATACAAGATGAGTAAGCTGAATGCAATTTAAAAATATACTACTAGTGAAATTTAATCATATATATCTCAGCTTTTACTAACCAGAATTGAATAAACATAAAATAACTAAAGCATGCTTCAGATCATAATGACGAACATTAGAGAAAATAAATTATTAAAGACTAAAAGATCAAAATGTCCCTAGACTTCTTGAGTGTTTATTTTAATCAACTTCTTTAGATATTCAGTGTAATTTCTCAACTCACCGAAATTGAACCAATCTTATCCTACTTTTAGCTTTGCCATTTATTTGGATGGCAATTGTGGAATGAAGGCTTTTTCAAAAGAACATTTTGGACTTTTTAGAGTTAATCTCACCTCAAACTAATGAGATTGACAATATGTTTTTCAATATCAAAATACTATCCAAATTCTTTGTAGAGGGTCGTTTTAGTCAAAGAGTTTATAAAAGTGTCCTAGACTCTTTTAATATCGGCTGAAATGGTGCTCATGGAGGACTATTTCAACCCCAATTTTAAAGAGTACAGGGGCAAATTTGACACTTCTATAGAGCTCAAGACTACAAATGGCCCCATTTAAACAGTCAAGAGGACTATTTGGACACTTTAATCTTTCAAGAATATTCTCATAATTCTATCCACTAGTTTCCGTCCAAATAAATGATAACATTTACAGTAAGATCAAATTAACTTAGATTTGGCGGTCAAGAGACTAAATTGAACTCTTAGAAATAAAACTAGGATTACAAACACAAGTAAAAAATGTAAGGACTATTTTGATCATTTACTGAATCATTAAAATATTACTGAATCATTAAAATATGATGGCAAACTTGACTGGCTCCTTAAAGGAGAATGATATAAGCATAAAAACATAAGAGTTCATAATTATTTCTACACAAATTCAACTATATAAAAGATACCAATAATTCAAAATGATATTATTGGGCAAAAGAGCAAAGGCCCTTTAATTTCAAAGACATTAGTTGATAAACATGGCTAACTTACCTGATTATATGCAAGTGCAATAGAAACAGCACCTCTCATAAGTCCAGCCCACCATATTATAACCTTTTAAATCAGAAAAGATTAGGAAAAATTAGATACATACCACTTAAATTCCTATCTATTTACATATCTAACACCTAAACTCCAATTTTTTCATACATAACACCTTACCCATGCATGAAAAAGGTGTATTTTACTTTTATAAAGTTAAGATGGTGATATTTTTTATATGATATGAAATATTTGTGTGGCATAAACGTATAGGGTGAATATTAGGTGTTAAATATGTAAATACATAAGAAATGGATGAATGCCCCAACAGATTATTAGCTGAATTATTGTTGAATTGGGAAGAACAAAACAACCAAAATTAGGACTGCTCACTTGCTGTCTGAAGTTGATTTTTTCAGACGAAGACTTCTTTGCCAAATTCAATAAAAATGAGAGTGGGAAAACAAAAGCAGCTCTTCCCACTAAAACCAGACCTAAAAGCAATGAGCTCAGACTAACTTGTTTCAGAGGGCTGCATTTGAGAACAGAGAAGAAACAATTAATAACTCTTTTTAATTAACAAAAATTGAGTAGTTAAAACTAGTTATTTTGCTTCAACAAACAATTTAATATGATGAATTGCGTAAAAGAATCGTAACACAATAAGTTGAGATTAATAATTTGCAGGAAAAGTAGACGAAAATAAATATAATGGAATGCGATTAGTAATTCCACTCATCTATTGAGACTTTGTGAATTTTCATAGACGCTTTATTTATAAAAAAAATAAAAAGTCCTGATAAATCTCAAATGATTGGCAGAAATAAAAGTGAATTTTAGAAAAAAAGGCATGAGCATGATCATAATTATATCACTCATTGTAGGAGAAACTTTGCGTTTGATATCCTGACTTAAATTTGGCCAACATGGATTTTATAACCATTAAATTTATTTTAAGTTAGTGCAATAAAAAATTTGATTAATTATTCATGGCTTGAAGTGGAGGAATGTAATTTTAGTAGTTGTAGATCTAGTGGCAGAATTGTAACAATAAGCGATCAAATCATTAAAAAGTGCGAACGTTTTAAATCTCTTAGGTATTTTGTTCAAAGTGATGGTGATATAGATGGGGATGGTACTAGTAGAATTTAAGTTGAATGGTTGAAGTGGAGGAATGCATCGGGGCTTTTGTGTCATAGAAAAGTACCGCTTAAACTTAAAGAAAAATTTTATAAGATAGTAGCGAAACCTGCAATGGTTTATGGAGCAGAATGTTGGCCTTTAAAAGAGAATCATATAACCACGTGTTGCTTAGATGAGAATGATTAGGTGGATGAATGGCTTGACACTTAGAGACAAAATGCGAAATGAATGTATTCGTGAAAAGGCTAGTGTAGCTCCAGTGGCACACAAGCTTAGAGAGAGTCATCTTAGATGGTTCAGGCACATTAAACCTCGACCACCTGATGATCTAGTTAGGAGAGTAGATATTTTAGATTCCATTATGTTAAAAAAGTAGAGGTAAACCTAAAAAGACTTGGGCATGTTGTATAAAAAATGGTCTTAATTTATTAGAATTAAATGAAAATATGACACTCAATAGGACACAATGGAGAAAAATGATTCATGTAGCCGTCACCACTTAGTGAGATAAAGGCTTGTTGTTGTTATTGTTTCATAGCTTGAAGCAAATTTGATGATTGATCATATGTGTATTAGAATACCGTCAACTAAGTTTTTTCTAATATCTTATGTTTAGAAGAAAAGGCAAAAAAAATAAAAAACAGAGTGATACTCAAACTAAAAGAAAGAAAACAAATGGAAAGACGGGCGAAAGAAATTTCTTCGAATATGATGACTTTTATGCAAAAAACAGAAAGGTTTGATTTATGGGAGTTATGATACTAAGTTTAAGAATTTAAGGCACTCAAAATATTATATGAAGCAATTCAGTGCCATACATAACATCAATGGAAAAGAATTATCTGAATGATGATGAAAATCTTCTAAATATATTCTCAGTTTTGTATTAAAAAAAACTGTGCAAATCAACTCAAAAATCACATTCAAATATAAAATAAATGCATGCAAATAAAATAATTCATTCTTCACCTGTCACTAACAAATTTCCACTTCTCAATGTCCAGAGCATCCATACCAACATACAGAAAGAGAAAAATCTCTGAAATAAACGACAATGTTGCGAAAACATGCCTGTATACATATTTGCAAAACACATCAAATAAATTAGTGAGACGACGAAACTGAAAAAAATATTACAAAAAAACCAGAATTGTCATCAATGAAGCTCTTTTGTTGCTTCAAATCACATAGAGAACATACTTTGTAGTAATCCTAGAACTTTCTGTCACATTGTGCCAAGTATAGTGTGACATTACTATTCCACAAAAAAATACTGTGAGGATACTGCTCAGATCTAATAGCTGCAACAAATATTGAAGTTACCGTATGTGGGATAATAATCATAAGAAAAAATTGGCACAATATATTTAAATTGGTGGGGACAACAGTAAAATCTCACTTGAGCTATCATGTAAGAAAGATAAGCCATGAGCATCATAAGCGAAACTTCACGGTCAGTAGAATGCCTGCAGTTTAAGAAAATTCTGTAAAAATAGAATTTATTTCAAGTATAGAAAAATGGTTGGTTTATGTTAGATTATGCGCACAACATTATTATTTATATGAGCTAGTTTAGTCCCGAAGCCTACAAAATTGTCAAATTAGTCCTCAGACTTATTTAATGGAAGGTTGAAAAGGTCCTTCCTTTAAGGAATCTGGGGACTAATTTAGCCCAAATTAAAAAGTTCTGGGGACTAAATTGACACTTTTATAAGCTACAGCATTCAAACATTTTGACACATTTCTCATATGAGAAACAATGAATAAAAAAGACAGTATTTTAAGAAAAAACTGTGTTAATACAAAGCTAAAATCATTTTTCTATTTATAAACAGGAAAATAATTAATAATGGCCAATTTTCTTCCTTTACAAACCTGCCAAAATACAACTTTTTTATAATGTAAGCACTGAGCAGACCTGCCTGCAAAACCAGAAAAATGCATGAGCCATAAAAGAGTGTTTTCAAAAATAGAATCAATAAGAAAATTTACCAGAGCTCCAAGGATGGTGCTGGTCAAAAATAGATAGAAGAAATTTCCAATAAGCTGAAGCACAATGACAGCATCCAAGTGAACAAGATCAAACTTTTGGATGGCATTGAAGAGCACTACTGATGTTGCATCATTGACAACACCCTCACCAAAGACCAAGCTATAAAGAAATGGTGTCTCATCCTGACTGAGCACCTGTATAAAATAAATAATTATTCAATGAGGAGAATTTATATTAACTTGGTCAGAGATTTGCTTGGGTTTATTGGGATCATTTTGTTTTTTGTTTGTTTTTGCTTTTATTTTAAAAATATATTTGTTTAGCATTTTTTGCTTTTAAAAACAAACAAAATAGCTTTGTTTTTAAAAATACTCAAAATATTTGATATTTTTGAGTGTTTTAAAAAAAGCTAAACATGTTTGATCGTGTTTAGTATATTTGATTAAGATATGATTATTTTAATTTTCAGAAACATGTTAATTTATTGTTTATGTAAAACTAAAAATATATAAAAAAACACACTAAACAAACATATTTTTAAAAATAAATGAGAAAATAGAAAAAAATAATAATAATAATAAATTGATCTCAAACAAGCTCTAAGGTTTTGAGAAAATAGAACCTGTAAGGTGCAAACAGAATCCGTTGCAGAAAAGATTGCGCCAATTGCTATAAAATACGAGAAAAAAATGAGAATCAATAGCAGATTTTGTTGCAAAAAAAGTAACGAGGAAAAAAATAGAATTATGAAGATACAGAAGAACATAGAAAATGATGAGAAGCTTTACCAAGATAATCACCAATATCCAGTGAACCAATATTCAGTCTACTAAATGATCCAATGGCTCCTACAAGATAAAACTTTGTCAGAAAAAACACATCCACGAGGATTTAAAACGGCCAAAATCTTAAGACTTGTTCGAGATCAATTTTGTTTTAGTTGCTCTTTTTCTTTTTTTAAAATATATATTTTTAGTGTGTTTTTTTACATGTTTTAATTTTTTATTTCTAAAAAAAATTAACCTATTTTTGAAAATACTTAAAACCTCTTTTAGGTATTTTGAGTGTTTTAAAAAGCAATCGTGCCTTATTCAAACAGTCAAATATGTTTTATTTCAAATCAAAACAAAAATAAAATAAAATAAAAAGATAAAATAAAAACATAAAACAAAAGTGATCTCAAATGGCCTCTTAAGCTGCAGAAAATATTAAAGTCACAAAGAAAATATACAGAAAATTGTTAAGCAGTAATACATCAGTGCTGGGAAGCTCATCCTATATCTGGGAACAGGAGTAAGCTCATTTCAAGCAAAGGATTCTCCATGTTTATAGGCATGAGAATTTTTCGTATAAAAAAGTTAAAACCATAAGAAATGGAGGCCGATTCCTGTTGAATTCTAGTAAATTATAGTTGAGGAGTTTCATATGCTTTTATTGATATTCTGTACTTCAATAGAAGGTAAATTGATGAGAAAAAAGTTGAAGCCAAATGAAAGGTTAATAATGGGACTTAGAGCTTAAACAAATGAAGACGAGAGAACAAACACACTAGAGATCACAAATACAAAACACAATAATTTATGCCGTGAGATCCAACCAATTTGAAGACTGTAAAAAGATCAAATATTACACTATTTTTTGAAAAGAGAAGTTTATTAACGATTTTTCTTCATTCAAAGTCGAAGACAAACATAGAGATGCTACTTTCTAAATTTTAACTCCATTTTTCACCATTTTTATTTCTTTTGACTTCTTAAGAACCATTGTATATGCTCATTGTTACTTGTTTTAATTTTGATGTCATAGACCAAGAGGAAGTCTTCATGCATTACAGAATTAGAGTTTGCTTCACTTTAAAACTATGCTTTTCACCAGTTTTTCCAACACAAGATTGCTACAAAAGGTCTCTAATATGGGTCATGAAATCACTCTGAAATCATTGATGCTCTCAGGATTGTAAATCAGGTCAGACTGATCCATACATGGCTTACTCCAATGCCAATTTTGAGGCATGCTGTGTAATGGATAAATCATAAAGTGTAGATAAATTCATAAAAACCTTAAGAGTCAATTTTTATATGTTAGAGCCAAATTCCAATTCAAGTTTTGGTTTCAAATTTAGATTCATCCATAAAAAAAAACATAACATAGACCATTTAGATACTAATTGGTGATCTATAATCCATCCAACTATTGCACAAGAGATAATTTTACGAGCGTATCAGGAACCTATCTAAGCTTTTTATTGATGCCCATCTTGACAGCCTAGGTGGTTTGTAAACCAATGGAATGATCATATTTAATGATAGAATAGTTAAAAAGTTATATTTGTAGCCTAAATTGTAGTATAGAGAACTAAATCAACAGACCAAGGTGGAACTATGTTAGTGGTGGCAAACTAATTAGTATGTTATATAAGAAAGACGCAGCCTTCTCGCAAGGTCTCAATGTTTTTTAATAAGCTTCATCTTTAGCCTAAGTTCCCAAGGTCATGCTTCAGTCTTAATTTTAGGCCGAAGATAACTCTTAAAATTCAGTTATGCAAACTGGTTCAAGCATTTATTAATAATTTGATTGCAATGCTTTATATTTATCACCCATTCAATTATTCTCTAATTTTAATAGAATATGTATTTGTTTCTTAGTCCAATTTTTATATCAGCACAAGTTAAAAAAAATCAAATATAAGATCTACAATGATGTGTCCTGAGAACCATACCATCGTGCTCTTATATCAAATCATTTGAGGTATTAATTGAACATGAAGGTCACCCAAACAATATGGGCATTAGATAAATTAAAGAATACTAAGAGAGACTACTTCAACACTGATTCGTTTGAAATCTGATATCTTTTATTTGGAAAGTTTTTTTTGCTAATCTACCCATTACTATATCAAAATTATCTTCTAAATTTTTAGATTTCTTTTCACCCGAATCATTATGTTTTTGACATTACCTATCCTATTCTCAAGTTGCTCCGCATGTTTTAAAAACCTTCCATATTCACCTCTTACTGTGTCAAGATTTTGTGATAATATGACAACACAAAAGCGAGAAAAATTGATGTATACAATACAACTAGTAGGATGTTCCTACATACAAAGGATGATTAGTTGTTGGTTTAGAATTTAAATTGTATATAATAATTTGATATCAAGAAACCAGTTCAGCACAAAGCAAAAATAGAAATTATCCTATCACATCTTAACTAATTTGTGTATCAATTACAGAATCTAGGATTCTCCTTCAAGAAAATAAAAAGTTCAGACTGACACATATGTTCAACTTGATATTGAGTTAATCATAAATTGGAGTTCCCTAAAACAAGGAGCTATAATAGACGCTAGACTTGCTAATTAACAAAGGAAAAATACTATACTTATAGAGATAATTATATCTTGATAGTGCACAGTCAAAATTCAATCATGATGCTATGCCTTTTAAAAATGCATGTAGCAAATCTTCAAAGAACTGTCCACCATTTAAAAGAAAAAGAAATGTATCTCTAGTTTTTCACTTTATGTTTTCTTTTTTATTTTCTTTATTTTATGATTTTAAGCAAACCTAATATTCCTTTTGTTTTTGTATGAAAATGGGATTGTATAAAGCTTAGAATTACCAATTAGTGATCACATTACCATTCAATTGAGAAATAATGGACAAAGAATAGTAGAAAAACATTTCTGGTTTGAATCTAAGAAAGAAGCAATTTGAATAGGATTTATAGTTTAAAGCAGCAGGGCCAAAGCAAGAAATGTCTTTTTTAGGCTTTGCATTCAAGCAGCTAGAGAAAAATGCAAAACTTGGATGCAAGAGGTACAAAATTGTAGCTAATTGTTAAAAATAGTAAGAATCTTGCTACAATTTTAGATTAACGTAGAGTATGTGACAAAATAATAAAAAAATAGGGATTTGGCAATTAAACAAGAGAAAAATGAAAGAAAAAAAAAGAAACACAATGAATCTTAAAGACAAAAAAGTTATTGATGTTGAATCCTCAAACGGTCAACTTACTAACTATTCAATGTAAGAATACTAGAGAGTAAAAAATAATAGTTACAATAAATTTTCATTAATTCATCAAAACATGATTTTTACAAAGAATAAAACATTGTATAAAAATTGCTTCACAACATAAAGTCCAGGCTACCCCTTAGGCTTATTGTAGGATAATATAAAAAATTGCTAATTCCTAATAAATTTAAACTATAAATACATAAATAAACTTTATATATCTAGATCACCATCAATAGAACCATTTGCATTACTTTTTTTTTTATCATTTTAAATTTTTTTTAATAAGATATTTGTTCTTAGATTGATAAATAATAGCAATTACATACATATAGGATTAAAAAGAAGGTAGTAGCTTCTCTAAAGTACTCAATTTATGTAATATCATGCCATTTCTTAACCAAAAATATATGCTAAAGTGCTTTTGAATAACATATCTAAATCATGCAGTTCATTCAAAATGCCCACAGGCCAAAGCTTTGCACAATTAGTATCAGCATCCATATTTTACTTCATTATTTTAATCAATAATTATCATTTATCTAATCTCTTGACCACTAAGTGCAACATGCGTATACAAAACATAAACTAATAAAATACAATAATTATCATTTATCTAATCTCTTGACCTTCATATAGCATTTAGACTCACCGAATGAAATTATGGTAAAAGATACCAAGGTCCCAGCTACACCGAACATCATAATTGTCAAGAAGTTGCGAAAGAATTGTTTCTTTTTGACTTGGAACCTGTCAAGGAAAAAAAAAACCACAAACCAAGATGAGAAAAAGAAAAAGTGATATATAGAATAAGTAGCTCTATCATTTCTAATGATCTAAGATGAAATGTAGATGAGACATCAACTAGAGATGGTCAGCATCATATTAGCATATCTTAGCTGTTCGGGATCAATCTTGTAAATCCTCATTCTCCATTTCTTCGTACTAGGTACTGCATTGATGCTGAATTCATTTGAAGAAATCTTTTTTAAACATTTTTTGTCACTATTATATTTGATTTGTCCTTTTTTTTATCTAACTTATCCATAAAAGCACGAACTAATTCAATTTTTCAAAATCTTATTGTTTCAATAGATGCTACTCATAGCATTTCTCTGATATAATCATTTTTTACTATATAATTCTTGGTTTGCCAAAAATAAATCTCAACATTCTTATTTCTATTAAAAATCAGCTAAACAATTATTGTTTTACCACCGAACACTTGAAACCATATAGCATAATTGGCCTAATTACAATTTTATAAATTTACCTTTAAATTTTCAAAATATTATTTAATTGCATAATACTCTTAAAACGCTTCTTCATTTTTAACCACCAAGCTTTAACTTTAGAAACTATATCACTAGTTTGTGTGTGGTGCAAGTAGAGCGATTTTTCTGTCCGGAGTCCGGATGTGCAGACAACGGACGCAATGCAGCAATACAGAGGAGGTCCGATCCTCCGTTGCATCGCAACCATTGTCCACACATCCGGACTCTGACAGAAAAATTTGGCGTGCATGTATATATATATAGAACGCCATCTAAACATTCAATTGAAACATAAGATGCAGAATCCATTATATCACACAACGTCGAAGAAAGTAACACGTCCTACTTAATCACAGAACCATGATCTGATATCACTGAAGTTGTAAGGCTTACCCTGCATTAAATATAATCGGAGGAAGCACATATATGAAGAATAGATCCTCACTAAAAACCAGAATATGTGAGCTTTTCCCTTTCGTAGTAAGAAGAATAATTGCTCCACTTATTAGCCCCTGCCATCAACAGCAACAACCAACTCAATTCCAAAGTCTCTGAGATACAAAACAACAAAATGAAATACATCCATTACAAAAATACTCACAAAGAAGAGAGCTGTTATTGATTCATTCATCCAGCGATTCTCCTCTAGCAGGTGACCAATAACAATACACGCACACAGAAGAGCAACAAAGAGGGTTATAGATGTAACATAATAATAATCAGATTTCACATGCACCTTTGTGTTTAAAATCAGCCCCTCCAAATCCAAACCCAAACCCATCTCTTTCACTTCCTTCAAAACACAAAATTTATGAGTTATAAGCTAATCATCACATGCAAATGGTGGGAAACTATTTATCTTTCTCCACAACCCATTAAAATGATTTACCTCAGAAAAATAACTCCTTTGACCTTCAAGATTACAGCTTCATCAAACATAATCTTCTGCTCAAAACCTCAGGTCGTCTCCAGCAAAATATTTCAGCTCCAAAGTCATCGCTAACTTCCTCTGAGATGCAGAAATTATAAGCTAATTATTCCAAGCAAACAGTCTATTAAATGTGAACGAATGAAAATAAAAGCGTTTATAAAATGACTTCTACATCAGCGAAAAAAAAGCACATTTTGACCTCCAAGATGACGTCTTTATCAAACAGAAACTTCGTCTCGAAGGCTCAGATCTCCCTCAATAGGTCTCCATTGTCGGAAAAAGATGAGCTTTGAAATTCAAGGGCATTTTATGGGAACGGAGAGAGACTGTATGACTTGAATTTCCGTAACAATGTCGTCGCTGTCTATCAATTCTACGGTAAGCTGAACAGTGGAGAGATCATTGGATGCATTGTAGGGCCGCCGGGGGGTTTCCGATGTCGGAGCTGGTTCGCTTTCTCACGCTATCTCAACCAATTTGAAAATCATATTGGGTAATGATTAAAATGTTCTTATGTTGCGCACGCTTTACCTCTATACAGAATGATGGAAATCGGAGATACTTGTCAAGGCAACTTTTTTTTTTTTTTTTCAATTCAGTTGTAATCTTTTTAGTTAGTTTTTTTTTTTTTTGTTCTTTTGTTCGATCTAGTAGTAGTTTTTTTTTTTTCTGTGGTTAGTTTGATCATTCTATCAGTTTGATAGTTCAAAATATTAAATTTTATATGTCTCATATTATTGGGACTTGGAGATTTTTATTTTTAAGTAATATGTTTGATAGTTGATTTAAGATCAAAATACTGGCGATTTAATCATAAATTATTGATTTGAGTCAATTGGATCATCATTGATTTGAAAATATAATCAAATAAATGATGATAATTTATGAACAAGATGATTAATGAATATTGGAAGCTTGGCGGCGGTAGAGTCATAAATTTTTAGTGTGCAAGAAAATTTAGTACGCACTCAAATAATAAAAGTGAAGTAAGCGTATCAAATTTTATGTGAAAAAACCTAGAAAATGGAAAAAAATCATGGGTCTAATCTAGTTGAAAAAATCCACTATAAATGATGAGTGCACAAGTTCATTATTCTCTTGAATTAGATAAAATGAATTTACATATATGATCATTGTAAATGTACAATAGTGGTTCATCGATAATAGTTGTATTTTGCTTCTAGTTCTCGATGATATTAAGGGTCTGCTTGGGGCATCCGTAGTTTATTGAATAATTTGCTGATAAGCTGATTAAAAATAATCTATTGATAAACTATGTGCGGTGACTATTATAAATTTTTATTTTTTTTGGAAAATTCAGACTGCAACTAGAAAGCTGCCACTGCACTTAGATATGTGCGGTGTGAAAACACTGTTTTCAGCATTTTGAAAACGAATAAACTGTCAAAACGCAACTTACCCAAACAAGTCTGGTGTGTTTTCAAAACGCCACCACACCAAATAAGTTGCCCCAAACGGACCTTAAGTTGCAAGGGTCGTAGTTGATTGCCATGAAGGCTGTACTCGCGCGGTGATTGTTGTAGACAACAGTCATAGCAACAACTTGTTGTATAGGCAGTAGTTCAGTGTCATGGTAGTAGTTGCTGTGAAAAAACCTAGAAAATGGAAAAAAATCATGGGGTCTAATTTAGTTGAAAAAATCCACTATAAATGATGAGTGCATAAATTCATTATTCTCTTGAATTATATAAGATGAATTTACATATATGATTATTGTAAATGTACAATAGTGGTTCATCGATAATAGTTGTATTTTGCTTCTAGTTCTCGATGATATTAAGGGCCTGCTTGGGGCATCCATAGTTTATTGAATAATATGCTGATAAGCTGATTAAAAATAATCTATTGATAAGCTATGTGCGGTGACTATTATAAATTTTTATTTTTTTTTTGGAAAATTCAGACCGCAACTAAAAAGCTGCCACTGCACTTAGATATTTTTTTTCTGAAAA